GAGAGCAGGAGGGCAGCGGCACCCTCCCTTCCTCTCTCCAAACTCCCCAACCACACCCCAGTCACTTAAGGCTGCTCTTGGCAGGGTCACCCCACACAGGGACAGGCCAGCGCAGGACCAAAAGCGGTGTAACTCGTCTGTCAACTCCATTAACACCTGGGCGCACCATGAAGATATACATACAGGGGATGCACAGGACACACACACATACACACGCGCATACACAAGACGTTATGTGCACACACACATGCGTGGCAGGCCCGTGCCCTTTGCAGAAGATGTGAGGAGATATGCAGAGGTGCAGAAATCCCAGCAGTGAGTTCAAAGGAATCCATGCAGTGGGGTGGGGTTCACCCCAGAGCATTACCCAAGCTCAGAGCACACCCCGCCCCTTCACCTCCTCATGAACGCAGTTCTCCTATAAACAAGCCGTCCCTAAGCCTCGTGAGCACAGACACGGATCGAAGGCCCCATGCTCAGTGAGGACGCTGATGGGGACTGCCTGCAACTGCCAGGCTCAGTTTGGGTGGGGTGGCTCCTTGCAGCTGGGCCCTGGGGGACAGGGACCACCACAGAGGCAGAACCTCCAGTGGGCCCTAGGCTGTCCCACGAGAACACTGTCAGGCCAGGAGGATGACGCACCCTGGAGGCAGACGCACCCTGGCTCCTGATGCCTCCACGCAGCCCCAACCCTGGGACAACAGGCTCCATGGCCTTTAGTTTTCTTTCTACACAATGAGAGATGGTTAACTTCCTCACAGTCTCCAAATTTAACCAAACCAAGGGGTAAACTTCCACCCTACCATAAAGATCCTGGTTCTATGTGTTGTGTGTGCTAAGTCACCTCAGTTGTGTCCAAAGTACAACTCTATGGACTGTAGCCCACCAGGCTCCTCTATCCATGGGATTCTCAGGCAAGAATACGGGAGTGGGTTGCCATGCCCTCCTCCAGGGGATCTTCTCTACTTAGGGATCGAACCTGCGTCTCTTACATCTCCTGCACTGGCAGGCACATTCTTTACCACTAGTGCCACCTGGGAAGCCCTCTTAGTTCTACAGACCTTCCAAATCCTTAGGGGGAAAACAGAACCCCAGATTCCTTCATGGTAGCACTGATGCAGAAGGTAGCCCTGCGGAGAAGCCAGAAAGGGCAGGGGAGTGCCATCAATAGCAACATCACACATAGCGGAGGTTTAACATGACCAGAGCATCAGTCATCTGGATAAAAGTGAGTAAGTCTGGCCAAATATGGTTTACACATGTCGGCTACAAGAAAACAGAAAGCTCCCAGGAAACCCTTGGTTCCGAGCCATACAGCTGAGCTAGTGGCTCCAAGGAGATACTGGTAAACTGAGTCCGGTTATGTGAAGTCTGTCTGCACAGGAACCGAAAGGACAGCCTCACACACAGGGAGGCCTGGGGAGAAGCTGGCCGCTTGCTGAATTGGTACCCATGGACCAGAGAGAAGCACCTGGAGGCCAACTCCCAGAGTGCACGCCTGCACTGAGACATCCTCTCCCACCTCTCAGACACGCAGGGCCCTGGCCCATGCAGGGCTCCAGATCACCACTTTGACCTCAATGATCCTTCTCTGGGAGATCGTGCCTTCTCAAACCAGGCAAGCCCAGGGCCCCCCCAAAAGCACCTTAAATATCGTATGGCATCACTTATATGTGGAATCTACAGAGAGGATACAAATGAACTTACAAAACAGAATCAGACTCGCAGACTTAGACCGTGGTCGCTGGTGGGGAAGGATGGGGGGAGGGATGCTTGGGGATGGACGTGCACACACTGCTGTATCTAAAACAGATCACCAGCAAGGACCTGCCGCGCAGCACAGGGCGCCTGCTCGTTCTGCAGCGGTCTGGATGGGGGGAGTTGGGGGAGAGTGGGCAGATGTGTGTATGGGCGAGCTGCTCTGCTGTACGCCTGAGATGGTCACAACACTGTTAGCTGCGCTAAGGCACTCAGCCGCGCCCAATTCTCTGTGACCCTACGGACAGTAGCCTGCCAGGCTCCTCTGTCCATGGGATTCTCCAGGCAAGAATGCTGGAGTGGGGTGCCATTTTCTATTCCACGGGCTACCCGACCTAGGGATTACACTCGTGTCTCCTGTGTCTCCTGCACTGGCAGGTGGGTTCTTTACCCACTAAACCACCTGGGAAGCCCTAGGCAGGAATCTTACTAGCTTATAATTACAAACAATGGCTGTGGTTGGTTTTCTCATAAGCTGGTGACACTTCTGAAGTCAAGGGCCTCCCACAGAAAAAGCCCAGGCAATCAACTCTTGTAGCCTCCTGAAACTAGGACATTAGAAGACAACAGGGCCTGTAGGCAAAGGCTGGTCTGAGGGCGGAGGGCATGCAGAGGGAGGGCGCTTTCCAGCAGAGGGGTGGGAGGCCCAGAGGGGGGTGGAAGAAGAGAGTTCAGACAGGTAGACTTACAACTGCGTTCATTCACTTGTTCACTCATTCCATCATCTAGTGCCAAATACAGCAGGCGATGCTGGGACACCAGCTGTGCCCACAGTCTAGCCTGGAGACAGACAAGTCAAAGGACAACTGCAAAGCCAGGGAATCAGAGAGGAGAGAGAGTCATGCCATGGGCATCTGAGCACCCAGCCTCTCCAGGGAAGGAGCTTCCCAGGGGAAGCAGGAGCTGGGCCAAGGCCCCAGGCAGAGACAGGATGGGGGAGCTGGGATGGAGGCTGGCAGAAGTGTTTATCTGCAGTGCTGGAGAAGGGCTGTAACCCAGCAGTCTTGGGCAGGAAATCTCCTAGACAGGAGGGAGTGGGGGCCCAGGGGATGGGGCCCAGTGCTGGGAAGGGCCTGTCCCCCTTTTCTCCAGGCTGGGTTGCCTTGGGCCAGCCTCTCTCTGGCCTTAGTTTCCCCTCTGCATCCCAGGGAGAAAGAAGGCAGAGACTTTGAGCTCTGGGGATAAAAGCTCAGTGAGCCCCGACCACCACTCCCTGTAAAACAGGGCGGATGACGCCACTGCTTCTTTTGGCTGGTGAGCAGCCTGATCACCTTTGAAGATGAAACACGCTGGGGCCTAATGGGGAGTCAGTCAGCTGAGTGGGGAGTGGGGCTGGGCGGCGGGAGCCCAGCCACCTGCCCCACCGAGCCCCTCCCAGTCAGACAGTCTCCGGCCCAGGGGATCAGGATGCTTGACACTGCTGTGCGGACCCCCGTGTCCCCCACCAGCCCTGCCTCTCCTCTGGTGTAGGCTCCCCACTTCTGGGCCAGGATCAATTCCACAGGCTCAAGCTGCAACAGAGGCATGCAAGAGCTGCCCTGGCCTCCCTAGACCAGCACACCCTACATGTGTGGGGCACCTGGCCGAGACATGCCTGCCCCCACTACGTTTCCCAGCTACATGGTCATTTTCAATATGGCAGCTGACCAAGGGGACACTTCACAGCATCCTTCACATGCGTGAGTGTGTTAGATGCTCAGTCGTGCCCAACACTCTGCGACCCCATGGACTGTAGCCCGCCAGGCTCCTCTGTCCATGGGATTCTCCAGGCAGGAATACTGGAACGGGTAGCTGTTCCCTTCTTCAGGGGATCTTCCTGACCCAGGGATCGAACCCAGGTCTCCTGCATTGCAGGCAGATTGTTTACCATCTGAGCCACCAAGATTACATGCATGAAAACAATCCTCAAGGATAAAAGGATACCCTGAGCCCGCTACTCCCCTCTCTTCCTGGGCTTCTGAAGGGACATCTCCTATCAGACGGGCTCTGGAATGCAATGAGCCAAATGGCACACTCTGGCCAGGCAATGACACCACCTCTGCGAGGCAGGTAAGGCCCAGGGGTGGCCCCAAAGTGCCTTGGCCAGACCAGACACAAGCCTCCACTCTCCTTTCTCAAACCTTCCCTTCTTGTCACCTCTTCCCTTTCTCTAGCCCAGGCCTGGGGCCTGCCCACTTGTGCTCTGCTCAGACGTACCATCCCCAAGGGCTGATCTCACCTGTGTTCTCAAGCTCCCCACCCCATCCCTGAACAACCAGACTCAGTCTCCGTAACAGACTCTAGATTCAGGGGAAAGGGACCAGAAAGAAGACAGGCTCTCCTGGGAGGCAGCAGCCTCATAAGTGTGCTCACGTCAGGCTCAGCTGAGAACCTTTCCTCCGTGTTCCAGGAGAGGAGCATACACCTGGGGGTGATCACATCTTCTTAATAGTTCATTTGTGTTCATTAAGTAATTAATGCACTTATCTGATTTGCAGAATGATGCCCAAAGGCTGGCCTCCTGATCGTTAACATCCAACCTCCAGGAGAGCTTTTGGAATTAACCACCTTCCAAAATTAGGAAGATGCCTATCTGCATCCTTCATCCCCCATTCCCCAGGGATGGAGGGATGGCGGGCAGTGCTCACTGAGGGAGCCCGGCTTGGGAATCCCAGCCTGAAGGCCCTACACAGCCACCCCGGCTTGACATTCCCCCACAGGCCACAGGCCTGACCATTCCAAGCCCCACGACCTGCAGGCTCTGGGGCTCCTCATTGCCCCTGAATCCCTCCAAGCGTGATTTTCAGGTAAGCCGAGTGAGGTCTGGGAAGCCACTTCGGAAGAACTGGGAAAGCTTAGGACTCGGCCTCAGTGAAGACCACAGGAAATAGGAACAGAGAGCTGGACTCGGCTCTGATCGCCAGAAACAGGCGGCTTCGTGCATGGGGATGTTCCCTGTGCTGCTTCTCCATGGCACTCCTCTCCATCCCACTCCCCTCACACCAGCAATTCAGTTCCCATGTCCTCTCTACCAAAGCCATGCCAGGCTGCAAAGGACGCAGCAAAACCCACCAGCCTGCGTGCCTGTGCCCACAGCGCGCCACCTCTGTGAGGGGCCCAGGGACAGGCTCTGCGGAGGCGGTGGGAGCAGCTGGCGGGCTCGGTCCTGTGCGGCAGGGCTTTGGGGAGGCTGTGCCGTGTGGACAGCCCTGCCATCCCTGGGATGGCGCCCCGGTGGAGGTGGGCAGGGGCTGGGTGCTCACCTTGTGGTCAAGCTGGGCACTGGCTTTTGGCTGTTGCTCCTGGCCAGGCAGCACGATCTCAGGGCCCAGGTACTGCCTCAGGGATGACGGCCTCATGAGGCCCAGGAGCTGGCAGAGCGAGGACAGCTGGGGAGGAGAAGGGGGACTGTCACTCACAAGTGCTTGGGGCGCCTCCAGGATGCGTGGCTGGGAGACCCCGGCTGGCAGGGGCATTGGCTCCACAGCCAGACCGTTGGCTCCGTGACCGGGGGCGCCTCTCCTTCAGGAGCCACACGGCCTCTCGGAGCCCGTCCCCGCCTGTGAAACGGAGACAGACTCAGCCGTTCTTCCTGGGGCAGGGGCTCACATGCTCGCAGCGCCGGGCACGAGGTGCACGTCATTGAGACCCGGGTCCCCAACCGCTGGGACCTAATGTCTGATGATCTGAGGTGGAGCCGATGTAATAACAACAGAAACAAAGTGCATAATAAATGTAATGCGTTCAAATCATCCGCAAACCACCCCCCCCCACCCCACAATCCAACCAGTCCGTGGAAAAACTGTCTTCCACAACACTGGTCCCTGGTGCCAAAAAGGTTGGGGACTACTGCTTTAGACAAGTGACTGAGGACCTACGGAGCTTTAATTCACATCCCGGGACTGAGCAGACACTCAGAGTTTAGAAGAAACAAGATCAGAAAGAGGGTCTCCTCTGCCACCAGACAAGACCTTCCCAACTCTGAGCAGCTGCTGCTCAAGCCCACTGGCCCTCTCTTTTCATTTAACTAGTTACTATGGGGGTTGTCAATCCAAAAGGAAATCAAATCAATATTCATCGGAAAGACTAGTGCTGAAGCATCAATACTTTGGCCTCCTGATGCAAAGAGCTGACTGACTGGAAAAGACCCTGATGCTGGGAAAGACAGAAGGCAAGACAAGGGAACAACGGAGGATGAGATGGTTGGATGGCATCACTGACTCAATGGACATGAGTTTGAGTAAGCTCCGGGAGTTGGTGATGGACAGGGAGGCCTGGCATGCTGCAGTCCATGGGGTCGCTGAGAGTCAGACATGACTTAGAAACTGAACAACACAGGGTTTTTCGATGCTCTTGAAAGAAGAGAGGCTGAGAACTGCCCCCAAGCCCATCTCTGAATGTGAATGATGACTGGACTCATCACATTCTCCCTCACCCCCATAACCTTTTTCCTCCCAGAGAATTTAAAGGCAAATCCAAACCTCAGATCATTCTACCCACAAAGATCTTCCAACAGAAAAGGATAAGGACTTTTCCCTTATAAAGTAATCACATTATTCTCTTGCCCAGCACGAGCACCCAGCATTCCTTCTGTGACCCCCACCTGTGCTTGGTGTTCTCTGTCTCAACAACGTCCTTACGCAGTTGTTTTGGTGGAATGGGATTCCCCAGGAGGCCCACACGCGTTGCCCTTTGGTTATTACGACACTTGACCTGCTAGCTGCCCTGCCCTGCACCTAAACTGCCCGCCCTCTGTGAACGCGGGCACATGCAGCCTCCTAAGTCAGGTGTCTGCAGCAGGCCACCCTTCCTGCCCAGCCCTTGCACCTGGTCTGGGCAGTCTCGACTGAGCCCCAGCAAGGACAACCACCTGCCCCAGGGCTGACTGAAGGCAGGCAGGCAGGCAGGCAAGCAGGAAGGCATGCCCTACGTCTTGGGCCCCTCTGAGGCTGCCTATAGCGCTGGGGAGGGAGGACCCAGAACGAAGTTGCGGGGCCAGGGAGGTTCACGAAGGCGCCATCTCTTCAGATGTAGCAGGTGTAGGCTGGCCCAAAGGGCGAGGGCTAAGCCCTGGGCCAGCTCCCACCCGATCACAGCCCTGCCCAGCACACCTGGCTTCCTCCCCAGCTCAGCCGCAGACACCTGCTCAGCACCTCGGCCAGTCACGGGCTGAGACAGCCCACAGGAGCAGCTGGGCCTGGTGAGGGCTAGGAGTCAGGCCTGGGGCCCTTGGCTGCTGGAAGGCGGCCAGGGCTTCTTGGCTGAGTGTCTGATCCTTTCAGAAAGGGAGAGCGGGTGGCAGGGAGACAGAGTGGGAAGGTTCTGGGTAAAGACAGGCACCATCTGGATTCTCACCAAAACCAGGGCTGTGCTGCCTTGCTCAGGCCTTCCAAGTCTGCGGATAGTTTCCAAAACAGTCCTGCCTGCTCCGGGCTCACAGCTGTGCACGCACAGGGCGCGCTCAGCAGCCCGCAGCCCCAGAAGCCGCCCCCGGCAGGCAGCTCCGCCCCGACTGGGACCATGGGCGGGGGCGGCGGCAGGCAAGGGAGCAGAGGGCAGAGGGCTGGCTGCGCCCACGTTTTTCCTCTCACTCCATGAAAACAGCTTCATTCTGCCCAGCGTGGAAAGCTGCTGCCTTCCGATTGCTTATTCTCTTTTGTTCCAGCTCTGGCAGCCCCAGCCGGTCCCTCTCCAGCAGACACACCCTTCTCTGGGATGAGGACTTATTTGGGCCGCATGGGTCCCCGGCAGGGCCAGGCTCTGACCAGCACGTATCCCCGCTCCACCCCTACTGCTAGGAGCTGTCTCTGCAAACACTCAGCCCTTCAGGACAGACGTCCCCGGGCAAGAAGCAAACTATCACCCAAAAAGGCAGGCCTCCACTGGCCTCAGCGGTTCGTCTGGCCAGAGGAGGCAGACCGTTCCCGGCCAGGCAACTGTCCACACAGCGGTCACTCCTGCACTCAGACCCCGGCAGCTGCTTCTGTTAGCTCAGTGGAGAAGGCCAGGATGTGAACACATTATTGACCAGAGACGTATTCATATGTCTGTTGATACCCGACCTTTATGAGCTGCAGAAGTTTCAATATTCACTTATCAGAAACAAAGGCCACAGGAACTAGTTTCTGCAAAAATCCTCTAGTCAGTAACATAAGTGTCTGCAAGGCCCAAGATGCCCCTGCTGTTCCCTGGAGCCTGTGCCCTGCCTGGACCTTCTGACTCAATACTGCACGGTGCCCCTACCTTCTTCCACCCTTCTGCCGCCTCCCCCTCCCATCTATCCTGTGGGACTACAGCACCTGCACTTGCTAATCCCCTTCCAGGCATGACTTTTGTTTCCCAAGCAGCTAGCACCTTCTGACACTGGACAGGAAACAGGGATCAAGACCATCCCCAAGAAAAAGAAATGCAAAAAGGCGAAATGGGTGTCTGAGGAGGCCTTACAAATAGCTGTGAAAAGAAGAGAAGCGAAAGGCAAAGGAGAAAAGGAAAGATATTCCCATCTGAATGTAGAGTTCCAAAGAATAGCAAGGAGAGATAAGAAAGCCTTCCTCAGGGATCAATGCAAAGAAATAGAGGAAGACAATCGAATGGGAAAGACTAGAGATCTCTTCAAGAAAATTAGAGATACCAAGGGAACATTTCATGCAAAGATGGGCACAATAAAGGACAGAAATGGTATGGAACTAACAGAAGCAGAAAATATTAAGAAGAGGTGGCAGAAGAATACACAGAAGAATACGCAGAAGAACTATACAAAACAGATCTTCATGACCCAGATAATCACGATGGTGTGATCACTCACGTAGAGCCAGACATCCTGGAGTGCGAAGTCAAGTGGGCCTTAGGAAGCATCACTATGAACAAAGCTAGTGGATGTGATGGAATTCCAGTTGAGCTATTTCAAATCCTAAAAGATGACACTTAGAAAGTGCTGCACTCAATATGCCAGCAAATTTGGAAAACTCAGCAGTGGCCACAGGACTGGAAAAGGTCAGTTTTCATTCCAATCCCAAAGAAGTGAAGTGAAGTTGCTCAGTCGTGTCCGACTCATTGCGACCCCTTGGACTATAGCCCACAAGGCTCCTCTCTCCATGGGATTTTCCTGGCAAGAATACTGGAGTGGACTGCCGTTTCCTTCTCGAGGAGATCTTCCCAATCCAGGGACTGAACCCTGGCCTCCCGCATTGTAAGCAGACGCTTTACCAAAGACAATGTCAAAGAATGGCCAAACTACCGCACAACTGCACTCATNCTGCAGATGGTAACTGTAGCCATGAAATTAAAAGATGCTTGCTCCTTGCAAGAAAAGTTATGACCAACCTAGACAGCATATTAAAAAGCAGAGACATTACTTTGCCAACAAAGATCCATCTAGTCAAAGCTATGGTTTTTCCAGTAGTCATGTATAGATGTGAGAGTTGGACTACAAAGAAAGCTGAGCACTGAAGAATTGATGCTTTTGAATTGTGGTGTTGGAAAAGACTCTTGAGAGTCCTTTGCACAGCAAGGAGGTCCAACCAGTCTATCCTAAAGGAAATCAGTCCTGAATATTCATCAGGAGGACTGAGGCTGAAGCTGAAACTCCAATACTTTGAACTATCTGATGTGAAAAACTGACTCATTTGAAAAGACCCTGATGCTGGGAAAGACTGAAGGCAGGAGCAGAAGGGGACGACAGAGGAGGAGATGGTTGGATGGCATCACTGACTCAACGGACATGAGTTTGAGTAAGCTCTGGGAGTTGATGGACAGGGAAGCCTGGCGTGCTGCAGTCCATGGGGTTGCAAAGAGTCGGACACGACTGAGCGACTGAACTGAACTAGCAGCTTCTGATATGTGATGCCAATTACTTGTTTGTTATGTTTATGATTACCTGCTCGCCCACCCCTACCAGGACGTCAGCTCCATGAGGGCAGGTGTGGTCCCTGCAGTGTTCCCAGAGCCTAGTAGAGCGATGGCACCTGACACAGCTGTGCCCCCTTATCCAAAGTTTCACTTTCCACGGTTTCAGATACCTGTGGTCAACCAAGATCTGAAAATGTTAAATGGAAAATTCCAGAAATAAACAATCTGTGGGACTTGCCTAGTGATCCAGAGGCTAAGACGGGGTTCTCAATGCAAGGGGCATGGGGTTCGATCCCAGGTCAGGGAACTAGATCCCATATGCCACAACTAAGAGTTTGCATGCTCCAACTATGACTTGGTGCAGTCAGGTGCCCACAAGCAGCTTGAACTGTATCTCCCATGGATAGTAGGGACTACTGTATATGCTTAATATGTATTTGCTAAATGAATGAATAAATGAATAGCAGGTCAGGTCTGCAGGTGATCTTTCCATAGTAGATGCAACTCTTTGGTCCCTTTGATTTCAGCCATTTGAAGCCTA